CCCGAATGTATAGAGTCGCTATGAAATGTACAATTGATGGGTAGAAGCCCTTCAAAATATAGATCAACTGCAGGGGGAAGAGCCTAGAATTCACATTATCAGTATGAATAGGAACGATAGAAACAACATTACGGTAAGAAAATGTAGGGTTTACAATAAATAACAAATTACATAAATAATATAATTTACATTTTATAATTAATTACATTAAATTTAAGATTAAAATTAAAGTAAGGGTATAATAGGTTTTTTAAACATGTACGAGGTGTACGAGGCATGTACGAGGGAATACATGTACGAGGCAAATTCTTTTTTGCCTCGTACATTGAATATGTGGTTGATATTAAATTTTGAATCAATCTAATGGTCAATAAGGGGGGTACCTGTTGTTATACATGTACGAGGGGTACCTGACCATAGAAGATCCCTACTAAATTTGTTGCTCTATAATCAATACTTATTGTCTTATTATTTGCAAGTCTGATTATAATTGGTTTGTCTAATTTTTTCCAATATTTACTGGGTAATATAGATTCTTTTGCTAGACATATTGTTACTCCCGTGTCTATAAATGCTAATAAGAATTTATTAAATAATTTAACTTTTATAAATGAACTATTTTTACTCCTTCTGATTCTAATAATTCTAAATCACTATTTGTTTCTGATTTTTAATCATATATATCAAAGTCTAATAACTCTCATTCTTCATATTATTCTTCTATAGGTTCATAACCTAATGAAAATATCATTTTTAACTTTCTTTCTTTTTTATGGTATGGTTTGAAGACATTCATTTGCGTAGTGTCTTATTTCTTGAAATTTCCAATATCTGCAATTCTTTTTTCCTTTAGGACAATATTTGGGTTTTCCTAAGTATTTTTCTTGTTTTTTAAACTTTTCTTTGTATTTTGGTTTTCATGGTTTTCTAAATGTCTTATATCTTCTTGGTCTATATTTTCTGTTAACTTATTGTATTTATAATATCTTTTCTTTCTATATGGTTCATAAAAACCAAATTCGTGTGGTACACTTTCTAATTGTTTACAACATCTTGCATCGACTTTGGTCATTTCATGGTGTTCTATTTTCCTTATACAAAGTTCATCGCTATATCTCGCATATTTTTCTAAAACTCCTATAGTTTTTTCTGCTCTTGTTTCATTAGTTTTCATCTGAATATATTTATTCATTTCATATTTAATTTTACTTTCAACTATTCTATTAATCCTGATCGATCCTTAATTTTATAAAAAAAATTCGCTTACTTGACATAAGAATTTGCGATATAACATATATTGCATAACTTCATGTTAGTTAGAAATCTAACTGTCTTATCTTTTTGTGTTTCTTTTGATTATTGCCCTGTAATTCCTAAGAATTCTCTTAATAAGTCTTTTGCTAATTTTCTTAAAGCTGCTATCTTATATTCTGCTTCTGTTTCTGAACCACTGGCTTCAAAATTAATTAGGATTAGAGTATTTTCTAGATAGTCAAATAATATTGCTGATGTTTTATATTTTATGTAAATGACAAAATCTGTTAATGTCATTTCATTTATCATTGAATCATTAGTTTGAACTAATAATTTTAATTGATTAGTCTAAGTGACTATTAAATATTCTGCATTGATTGCACAATCTATATTTAATATTCCATTAGATAAATTTCTTTTTTTTTTTCTAAATATGCTGCTGGTATATTTTTCTTTATTTTTCCTTGATGATAACTATAATCATTTATGTATAAAATAATATCTAAAACTTCTTTCTATATAACTATTTTCTGAACTAGATGCTTCATTATTATTTGTTCTATGTCATTTTGGTTATAATGGTGGTGTTGTATGAAGTTTTTGATCAGTCATATTGAATATGGGTTCATCCGCATCTTCACTATCTATTACATAGATTATTCATTGTTTATCCTCATCATCTATTTTTGCCATTCTTGTTTATTTAATATTACATTTTTTTAATAACTGAGTTATTCCATCTATATCATCTATTAAAACCGTTGGTGGTTCTATTTGAATTGGTTTAAATAATTTTTTCCGTGTTTTTTCTTTTTGTACTAAATCTTGTAATTCTTTACGGATTTCTTTATCTCTTCTAATTTTTCTAATGTTTCTAATTGAATTTTCTTTATTATTTCTATAAGTGTTCCTATTTGTTCTGAGACTCTCGACGGATCATTGATTGGTCGGAAAAAATGTGTACTTTATATATTTATTAGCGTATTTTTATATGCTTATATTTATCGCACTTATATAATTTTCGGCTTATGTATTATTTGGATGAATTCCCGTGCTTTAATATTTTATTATTTATTTTCAGCAATTTAAAGAATATTCAGAGATGGAATCAATACAATACAATACTCGGTTGAAGAAACCCTCTCCCCGTCGAAACCCTCGCCTCTGCCCTTCAATTCACTCTAGTTTGCCTTCTCCAGCGTCGGCGTAGTTCGGGCCGGCGGTCACCTTTGACTGCTCGGCCCGCCCCTTACGCATCGCCGTTCTGGATTCGCTATAGGGCCCGCGATTGTTCAAGCTTCTGGCCATCGATTGCGGAGGTCCTTGGGCGACACTGGTCTCTGGCTGGTCTGGATCTCCTTTTCTTTTTCGATTGCGATCCTTTGGTTCTGCCCTAGGTCGCTGGCAGGGATGCGGGTTTTATGGTCGATTCGTTCGAAGGTCGGTCGGCGGTCGGTGGTTCCGCTGTCAAGGTACCGACGACCTTTGATTGATGGTGTTGTGGTGCTGGCGATTGGCGATTGGCCCTGTTCTTCATCGTTTTTTCTTAAGCGGTCGGTCGCTTGGGGGTTTGGGCTTCTGGGTTCGGGTCGCTGGAGCTTGGGTCGCGTCGTTTGTGCCTGTGGTGGTTTGGAATGTGCATATGTTGGTGGGTGGGTCGTGACTTCTACGGCTTGTTTCGTTGGAGTAGAGGATTGGCAGCCCCTTACTGGTTCTCTGGTGTTGGGTCCGGGGTTGATTCGTCCAGGTTCGACTAGTGGTGTTAGACGGGTTTGGACTGGTTTGACTTGGGGTTGCTCTTTTGTTCCTCTCGGTTGGAAGTGGGTCGATTCGGATTAGGTTTGGGGTCCGGGCTTGGCTTCTGTATAGGCGTTCGGCAGCAGTTTCAGTTGTACGACTAGGGCTTCGAATTTTATTGGAATCGATTGTTCTCCATTGTTTCGTCTCGTCAGTCTGTTAGGGAAGGGCCCTCTTTAGTATGGCAGTTTTTGTTGATGTTTTGTCGTGTTTGTGTTAGGTGTGTTTGTTCGTTTTTGTTTGTGTCCTCTCAGTTTTCTATTTCTGTTCTTCTAGTAGGTGTGTTTTTGGTTTGGGCTGTTGGCCCCTGTCTCATTACCCTGTTGTGGCCATAGTTATTATCCTGTTGGGGTCTTGTAATTTGTTCCTTTGCACTTTTGTGCTTTTCTATATTACCTCTATCGTTCCGAAAAAAAAAAGAATATTCAGAGATGTCAATGGATAGGACCGTGATGTTGAGTAATCGGCCGAAAAGAATTTGTCGGGCCGAGAAGAAAAGTGATTTGAGCTTAAAATTATTGGGCCCAAAAAGTGTAATTAAATGGAGGCGAGTACTTGGCACCCCCAGGACTTATTTGTTCAGGAAAATAAAACATAGCAAGGCATGATCTTGGTGAGTTGGACATGAATTAGAAGACAAGTAGAATTAGAAGATACGTAGTCGAAAGTAAGACTTTAGTTGGAATTATTTGCTAAGAAAAACAAACATCTACTAACTAGTAGTAGCGGCGAGTAAGGGTCGAACCCACATGAGTGTGAATCAAATTGTTAATATTATCGTATTAATTGAAATTATAAAAAGCGATAAAAGGGGAGAATTGGATTAAAAGATACGATCCAACAATAAAAGAAAATAAATAAGAGAATTTTCTAGTCCACGGTTCTATCTACACCCTCGACCGACTCATCTAATCAATTCTGGCATCAAATCTCGTTATCTTACGAAATTATTAGCCCTAGGCAACTACACGGTCTGTTACCCGAATTTTTCTTTATTTTTAATTTAACTGCGAGACGCTCTACGATTAAACATGACTTCTTGTACAGTCCAGAAAAACGTTTTCAAGATTTAATACAATTAGCCACTTTACGAATTAGAAAAATAGGCTAGACTAAATACTGACGCATTAGTTCACTTAACTAGGTCGTTTTATCCCCGGTAGTAACCGTCTTCCGGTAGCCTCTTATGAATTAAACACAACAACAATTACGGATTGAAGGTCTAATTCAGTTGTAGATATGAAAAATCATATCTAGGTGATCAATCTAAATAAGACTCAATATATCGTGGTTAGTTATTCAAAATAAGACGAACAATTCCAAAAAGATAATAAAATCATCAACCAAGAAAATTAATCAAACATCGTCAAGTTGTAGGGTTCGACATCCCCGAAACTAGAATTAAATCTACTCTAACATAATAAATAAAAATAAAAGAAAGAGAATAGAATTATCCCCTTTCGTGTGCGGGTGCGGCCTCCCTCCGCTTTTACCGGATTCCCCGTATGCAAGTCCTTTTTCTGTTCGCGTCTGCGCGTCTGTTGCGTGGCGGCTCTCCTTTTTCTTTTCTCTGTTCGTGGCGTACATAAGGCCTGCCATCTCCAAAATAAATATCTCTCGGCCCTTTTGTTTTTCTTAGCTAATATAATATAATTCCAACTAAAGTCTTACTTTCGGCTACGTGTCTTCTAACTCTACGTGTCTTCTAATTCATATCCAACTCACCAAGATCATGCCTTGTTATGTTTTTATTTTCCTGAACTAATAAGTCCTGGGGGTGCCAAGTACTCACCTCCATTTAATTACACTTTTTGGGCCCAATAATTTTAAGCTCAAATCATTTTTCTTCTCGGCCCGACAAATTCTTTTCGGCCCATTACTCAACATTATGGTCCTATCCACTGACGTCTCCGAATATTCTTTAAATTAAATAATAAAATATTAAAGCACGTGAATTCATCCAAATAATACATAAGCCGAAAATTAGATAAGTGCGATAAATATAAGCATATAAAAATACGCTAATAAATATATGAAGTACACACTTTTTCCGACCAATCAATCATTCATAATTTTTTTAATAGTTTTTTTATAATTTTTCCTTTGATTTTTTTCCTACAGCAAAATATGATGTGGATATAGATTATAAAGTGACACATGTCACTCAATTAAGGGATGAATGCATGTACAAACAACATCGAATTTTGCGGTAAATGTTGTAAGATAAGTAAATATACATTAAATAATAGATAAACTATGTAAATAAACTATATATGATTGGTAAATATTTAGAGTATGAAGTTCTATTAAAGCAACTTCATACAAGTAACTAATTTATGAGAGTTCCTTCAAATAGGTAAGATATGTAGGTAAATAATTTGTGATTGTGTATTCAAATGTGTGAATTCTATAAATTAAGCATAAATCAATAGGTAAATTGTATTATAAATATATATATATATTTTTTTTTTTCCAACAACAAACAAAGAACTTATATAGAACTCAAAAAAAATAAGAGTACAAGGATAGTCAAGTAACTATAACCAACTTGGCCATACAATAACCGACCCAAGAGGCTCGGGAAAGGAAAACAACCCGACCCTAAAAGACAGTCAAACCCCCACAACACCAAAGTCCAAAAGCTAAAAAAAAATAAAAAAATATAGAAGCATTACAATAATCTATACTTATATTAAATGGGATCCTATTTACAAAATATAGTAGGTAGAAAAGTCAAACTTAATTAATGAACTTCTAATTTTATCAAGTAATAATTAATGCATTTATAATTTATGCTAACATAAAAAATCCTTCTTATAAATCTTAACATAAAAAATTATGTACGTAATAAATCTCATAAAAAATTCTTCTTATAAATTTATGTTGAACTTCTAATTTTTAATCCTTCTTATCTTGACATAAAAAATCCCATAAAATCGGGTGAGCAAAAATAATCAAAATCTATCTATACTTATATAATAAGGTATCCTATTTACCAAATTTAGTAGGTTAAAAAGTCAACGTAATTAATGAATTGTTATTTCTATCTGGAATTTTATTTAAATTATTTTATTTATTTGTCTTATATCCTATAAAATCAGTTTAAGAAAAAAAAATCTCATAACATCTGATAAGTAAAAAAAGGACGTAAAATCTTTACTAAAATAAAAAGGCTTTATTTATTTGTCTTATTTCATATTAACATTGATTTTGTCAAAACAAATCCCATAAAATCGGTGAAGTCAAAATTTGTACGTAAAGTCAATCTATACTAAAAAAAATACAAATTCAAAATTCCTTATTTAATTCCTTCTTTTCTTATCTAATTCCTTCTTATTATTTAATTGTATGAAAATCTATTTTGATTTTGTTCAATTGTCTAATTGTACTTGCATTATATTGCATAAAATCGGTTTAACAAAAAAAAAAAAACCTCATAACATCTGATAAGTAAAAACAATACGTAAAATCTTTACTAAAATAATAAATGCTTTATTTATTATCTATTTGTATATAAATCAGTTATGATTTTGTTCAAATCGATTTCTGTATATTCAAATTCAGATTGTCTAATAAAAATATTAACAACAATATATATCTACTCTACCCATTATAAATTACAAATCTCAAAATATTGAGCCATCATCTTCCTCACTATCAACTTCCTGCGAACAAAAAATATCTCCAATCAGTCTTTTATTCAAAACAATGAATCAATGATTTGGGTTAATCAAACAAGTCAATATGTCTAATAGGCTTATGCTCAAAGTTCGAATTGTGAGAATGTTTTTCCAAGACTGGGGCAGCACATACAAATCATATCTCGAGTTGGTTCTGCATGATAAAACTGTAAGCCAAATTATTTGATTTTTTTTTTTTTAATTTCAAAATTTGAAACGTATATTTTTTTCGTATATGTATTTAGATGTTTTTGTACATGTTTAGTGAAATATATTTTCATTTTTTTTCTAAATTATATTTTCAGATTTGCAATTTAGTTTATTTCACATATCGTGTATGTATTTAGATATTTAGTTTATTTATATTTATTTTCATGTATTGTAAATTTTTTATTGAATATTGCATCTTATAGTATAATAATCCCCAAATAAATATATTTCGTGTCTCGCACAGGCATACTACATATATTCCATATATTTTTTTATTCATTTATATAATTATAAGGCTGGATAAATGACCTTAAAATCATACTAGTTTCACTTTTAAACACAGTAGTACATACATTATGCAAATATACTATAATTTCACTTTGAAAAAATCGGTGGGTGCAAAGTGCACTCCGCAATTAACAACCCTTAGCTTACATGGACACGGCTACACAACCACTTTGACAGCACTACGTACAACTCATCAATGCACGAAGAAATAAAAAACCACAATTCAAAACATTTTCTTGCCATTTTCTCAGCTACATATTCTCACCAGTCCATTGTCGCCAGGTTCCTCGAATCTCTCCGCTCTGAGGAAATCTCCGTCCCTTGAATTACCCCAAATCAAGGGACACAAATCGTTGTCAGCTCGAGAGAAAGAGAGAGCAGGGGACCTTGGCTTTTGAGCTCCGTACAGCAATGGCGTTCATGTCCTTTCTCGGTAGACTGCTCTTCGTCTCTGTCTTCGTTCTCTCTGCTTATCAAGAGTAAGACCTACTTCGCTTTCTGGGAGTTGGGGAAAAAGGCAAAAAATAGGTTTTTATTTGTTTTTAGCCTTTTTGCATTAAGATTTTCAAGCGAATTCGTTTGATTGGATCTACGGGCTATATTCTCTGCATCAGTGTTCAGTTCTATGGTTGATTGCTTTTTCATCTTTTTTTTTTTTTTTTTTT